GTACCAGCGCGGCAGCCCGCACAGACTCTTCCAGTAGGAGCGAGTCCGCCAACGCCAGTGTGGAGGGGAGCCCTCGCGGGGGGCGGGGGGGGGGGGGCACCACTTACGGCAGTGTAACAGACCCGCCGAGAATGGGAGCAGATCTGAAAGCGACGGCCTCCGTAGGAGGGGCGCCCCCACGCAGGCAAACCCCGGACCTTGGCCCGGAGGCTCTTCCCTCCCTGGTAAAAAAAAATCCCCCCCCCAAACTTCTCTCTCCCACGGTATGAATCAAGTTTGCAATGTAAGCGACTTCAACCCAGTACATCATTCCTTAATGGGATTTCACAAGCTATGGTCACTACAGCATTGCATTTCTCAGACATGCTAAAAGTGGAAAATATCAACGCAAAACACATTATTTTTTTAAAAGGTTGATTATTACAGCTGCTTGTGCTCTATAAATAACAACACTGATCTGGTCAAAATAGCATCTGTCCCCAAATTACTGAAAATTTTTCCTTATTGTATTGGGACTACAGTCTCCCAGCCCTGATCATACTAATTGGGGTTATGGGACTGGTAGTCCCAAAACACCAGAATGCAAGATGGAAAGGATGGAATGCGTGTACTGTATCTCTACCCTTGCAGTGTTGCACATCCATGAATTTTATAAACACAACAGAACTCTAAAGAATCACTTTATCACAGGTCACTTCGCTTTTCAGCAGGGGAACAACCACAGCTTAAGTTAAGGCTTTACACCTTTCCCTTGCTCGCTCATCTTCCTATTTCCTCTTTTTGGTAATGGAACCTGTCCAGATACAGAATAACAACCTCTACCAAAATACTCAAGATGAGCAATGTAATAATTCTCTTTTTATTTTAGGACATTCCAGATACAGGGCATAAATACCATCTTAAGTTTGAAGTGAAAGAAAGCATTCATAATGTAAGTTTTGGTTTCGTATTTTCTTAGAATAAGGTTGGTGACCTTTAGGGACTGACATACATGTAGAGGATTCCTGGAAGCCTTAATCTGCATGCGCGCGCCCCCCGCCCCCCACATACATATATAGTATAGGCAGCCCTGTCCCAAATCACTATTTTCAGACTACTATTTGGAATAAGGGAAGCTATTTTGAGAAAGGCGAAGATACAGAGGGAAAGCTGCTGGGGCATGTGTTTATGTATGCATGTTTCCTCAGCTTCCTCAGAATCATAGGGTTGGAAGGGACCTTGGAGGTCTTCTAGTCCAACCACTTGCCCAGTGCAGGAATCCTCCTCACTCATCACTGTCCTGTGTTTCCAAATAGCAATAATGATGTTAAAAAATTGCTAGCGAGAAAGAGAAAATTCAAAGTGCCTCCTCATCCAGCAAAACTAATTAAGGTTTTGCTGGAAAAGAGCTAATGCTTGCACAGGTTCTTTATTAGCACAAGGCAATTCCAAAAAGCCTATGTCTCAAACACAATGTTTTGAGAAGGAAAATACAGAAGAGACTTCCCACACACTTGTGGCAGGATGAAGGTGATGGAAATTCCCATTCCACCTCCCCTCCCCAGTCTCATGATAGAATGCACTAGGGATTTCTGTGAACTGCAGGCGTTCCTTGCACGGCTTGAACATGCAATATGGGCTTCCCCTTGCGTATTTCCTGTCTGAGATCTTTCCTGACATAGATTAGAATCCAACAGTTATGCAGCAGAATAGGTGAGATCTGTCACAGCAGATAAAGGGGTATAAGGGAACAGCACTGTGGGAGGAAAAGATGACAAAAACTCCTGTTACATGTCTGAAAGTCTGCTTGTTGATCCAAAACTACACCAAATCAAAGCAAGCTCTAAAGAAAAGTTCACAGTACATAGTAATGACTTTGTATCAATGGCCCATCCAGGACTTCAATCCTAAATACGTTTATAATTGTGGAGACTAAATATCTTATACCTTGTACAGCTGGGACAAGCATTTCCTCTCCTGCATAAAGCAACATTCAGCAAGAGATTATTACATGAAAGTTACGTTTGCTAAAAATCTGAATGTTTGTGGCTGATTCACTACATGATTACTTATTTGTAGGAACTAGCCACTTAGTTAACATGCTTAAATCCTCTTGTGTCAACACATCTTCATGGCAAGTAGTATCCATATTTCTACACAAAGATTTTTCGCTCTCCAAGTAAACCACTTACAATTAAGTTTTCAAAGGAAATAGTTGTGTTAGTCTATTGCAGCAAAGCCAAGCAAAAGTGAATTGGAATTCATGGAAACTTATGCAAAAGCAAATCACTTCGTCTCTGAAATACCTCCTGACTTTAGTATTCATTTTTAAGAACAAGATTCTTTTTTCTTAAAAGGAATTTTTCTTCAGTAACACAGCATACTAAACTATCATAATGAAATCTGTTTGAAGCCTGTCATTGTAATTTATTAATCATGTTTTATGGCTTAACATGATGTATGAACCCAGCAATTGTGGTTTATTATATAATGACAATTAAAACAAAATCATGACTTACTGTTCTTCCCAATCAAGATGTGAAAGCTTTAAGCTACTCCCACCTCCCCAAATTTCTATTCCCATCTGGTGGGGGAAGATCCCTAACACACATCTGATGCCAGCATATATATGGGCTACCTAAGAAGAGGACAAAGTGTACACTGACTCAAAAACAGTTTTAAATAAAGATGTAGAACCACTTTAAAAACTAGGACTTACTGTGATCATTTAGATCTTTAAAAAAAATATAGAGGCTTTAGCTCACATACAGATCAAGTTCTTGCCAATGAATTATCCTCCAATACAATGTGGAGGATAAATATAAAATTACTTCTACCTTTTCTACATAAATGGTGTTGGTGACATATCAGGGAGCAGAAATTAATCATAACAGAACAGAATCCACAACAGAAGATTATTGTAAAACTTTCAGCCGTTATGAAAGAAATTGACAAAAATGGAAGAAAGATAAATGAGTATGACATTTTCCTTGAATAGAGAACTTCCTACTATTATTCTGAGCATCTTTGAATGATCCAAGGAATAATTTTAGTAAGGGATATTTATGGATACCCTAAGTATGGACACTTAAAGTTGCCATGCTGGCTGGGGAATACTGGGAGTTGAGGTCCACACTTCTTAAAGTTGCCAAGGTTGAGAAACACTGCTCTAACATAAGATTTGATCTATCTTGTTCAGATGGCATCAGGTTTACTGTGAATTAAAATAAAGCCAAATGTTGTTTCTAATTGCACACTGCTAGCAAAACCTACAGAAGTTTTAAAGTTGTCCAACTGTTTCTGCAACAGGGCAGCACCATGAACTGCACAGCTGATGTTCTCTATTATCACAGTGACACACATGTCGCTCCTGAAGTACATTATACTATGGAAGGGGAGTTTGAGACACATTCAGAGGAACCAGACAGCACGTTCTACAACAGAATTCAGAATCTGCCAGAGCCATTAGAGACCCAAAATATACCAGGTAAACAAAATGTTGCCATTTAAAATGTTGCATTCTGAAGTTAAATTACATCTATGAATGTTTTCCTATTAAGCAATGACAGAGCACCCTAAACTTAAATTATTACAGTGTATCTTTCTACCTAAAAGCTGATACAGAGCTTTAGTGATTCTTCCCTACCTCTTAATGGACGGTTTCACATTTCTCTTTTCCAATATTTAAACTTCATAGTGCTGACCATATTCATATTCACTGGGATGTGTGGCCATCTCCTGCATGCCCGCGCACACACATTTCAAATATTTTTATGAGATCTTTGTGTATACTGATACATTCTCTTCTTTTTAAAAATCAATGTTCTGTTTTATTTCATTTCTGTCATTCACCACCTAAACTAGCTAGATGAGGATAAGATCTGGCTTTTCTTTGAACCAGAGTCAGATATGTTTTCATTAATTGGAGGCTGGGATCACATATCTTGGACCATAATTACATTCATGTATCAAACCTATGGTTAAAATGTGTCAGAATGGTATTAATTAATAATAGCTTGACTCCTATGTTGTAAACACTTCCAAGGATGAAGGTGTTTTTTTTTTCCAACTGAGTTTTTATATTCCATCTCCTGTGCTATCCAGGAGACTCTTAGCCCTATCCCAATATTTAGCTTCACCAAGGTGTTCATAATAGTGTGATGCTTGCTTCACTGTTTAGTTCCCCTTTCAGCAACCATTATTTGACATGCAAAGAAGTGCCAAGAGGAGTTAGTGAGCCAGGTATAACTCTTCTGCTGGCAAGCTCTGCTTTAAATTGGCTCCAAACGATTATTATTTTAACAATATAATATTAACACCTAGCTTATTCGGTCATTGGCTAGAGTCAATGCTTGGCATCTGCCTCTCCCCCATTCATATATGCAAAAAAACCCTATTTTTGTATATATTAATAGGGGAGGGATAGATGCACAAGAAACTGTAATGTACTAAGGCAAATATCAAACTATACAGGAATTATAGTATAGGAATTATCAGTATGCTGATGATACTCAACTATATATCTCCATCCATGGTGAGGTAAGTGATGCCATGACCACCCTCTCACAGTGCCTGGAGGCTGTGAGGGTCTGGATGGGGAACAACAGGCTCCAGCTGGACTGGCTGTGGGTTAATGGCTCCTCTGTATCTGGGACGTTGTCTTCATTGGTGCTGGATGGGATAGCACTGCCCCAGACAGACTCAGTACGTAATTTGGGGGTCCTCCTGGACTCACGGTTCCTGCTCAAAGAGCAGGTGGCAGCTGTGGCCAGGAGGGCTTTTGCACAACTCCGGGTTGTGCACCAGTTATGCCCTTTCCTGGATCGGGATGCCCTTTGAACAGTCACTCATGCCCTTGTTATCTCCCAGATAGGCTACTGCAATGTGCTGTACATGGGGCTATCCTTGAAGAGTATCTGGAAGCATCAGCTGGTCCAAAATACAGCCGCGCGAGCTATTTTTGGGGTCCAAAGAAGGACCTATATAACACCATTGCTCCATGAGCTGCATTGGGTACCGGTTTGCTTCCAGGTCCAATTCAAGGCGTTGGTTATCACCTTTAAAGCCCTACATGGCATGGGGCCCGGTGTCCTGAGGGAGCGCCTCTCCCCCCCCATTTCAACCTGTCCCACCCGATCACACAGAGAGGGCACGCTCCGGACCCGCTTGGCAAAAGAACTCCAACTAGTGGGGTCCAGAAGGCGGGCCTTCTCTGCTGTAACCCCCGCCCTTTGGAACATCTTGCCCCTGGAGGTGAGACAGACCCCCTCACTCCCAGCCTTTGGGAGGGACTTGAAGACTGGACTCTGCCATCTGGTCTGGGGTAGGGAGGGAGGTCATCAGATGTGGGGTTGGCTAGCCCCCTAG